TTTAAAAAGAAACTACCAAAGATATTGGATATTGGATACCATGGACATTTTATGAAACTTCAAATGTTAATGAAATAAAAATAATAATACAAGTTTTGAAAAAAGGGGAAAAGAATTTGCAAAGTGCTTTTCCTGAAAACGTACGTTTTTAAATTTTCACTCAAAAACCATATTTCCAATTTAGATATGGACTCATGTGGCTGTATTTTAACTGAATCATGAAAGGAGAAAAAGTCTTTGTAAATTTGGATACCCAGCCAACTCATTTGACGCCCAATGATTGTTGACTTATTGTCATTGATGCTCAATGGGGGGACCGAGCTGGGCTGGTATAGGGGTAAGGCATGTGACTTTGGTTCCGCGGGTTAAAATCCCACCAGATCACCAATGGATTTTAAGTGATAATGCGGCAACCCCTAGGTCTAGCCTGAAGTAATGTGGAAAACTATCCCAGGGTAGTGCCTTGTATCCTAGAACAAATAAAATTGGTGCTCAGTTCGAAACTTGACAGCTGGGTCTAGTTTCAAACTGACTTTACAAACAGGTCGACAAGCATACTCAGCTATATTCTATATTTGATTTCAGTCCACACTCTCAGTGCAGTAGGCCTCCAGGTTTTATAATGGGAGATAATCTTGTTAAACACTACTGGAAATATACAATATTGTCATGCATTGCAGTCTCAACTGTACCCGCACTCCTTTTGAAGGTGCTAAAATTAGTTTCACTCATTTCTGTATATTATTTTTATTTTTACTAAATGAATTAAACAAAACTTCAGCACAGTTAAAATTTAGTTTAAGTAATATAAAACTGTATGACAAAAGTTAAGGAGTGTTTTGCGAGTCCAAATATTTTTAGGATAGTTTCACTGAAACCTTTTTTGAAATAATTATTTATGGACTCTCCATACTACATGGTGAACAAACGTGGAATAGAGTGAAGAAATAGATTCTGTTCTGCACATCTAGACCTGTCAATTCACAACAGATCTTTCACTCTGTCAGTGTTTTTCAATCATGCGACCAGCTCACAGGTTTGTAATATAAAAAGGTTGTTGTTATAAAAATGCTCCTGAGGATCACAAAACTCAAACTTGTGTTATATGATTTATATAACGTCAGATAGCTAGATATGCCGACAATTTTCTCACTTTATTTTGACCGAAAGTTGTATTTCTCTACTAGATGGAGTACCTGATCAATATGGAAGCAATCCTATCAAAATTTTCTACAGAGCAGAGACTATTGAATATTGTCTGCAACAATGATAAACAGCAATGGTTTTAGATCCTGTGAAAGTTTTAAAAAGTTCCCTCTAAACGCTCACAACATTATTCCACTTCTGATTGTTTGTAGTTTGAATGGCCCTGACCGAGATGTAGTTGACTAGTTGGGTGCTGACAACTTGTGCTATAATGAAATTGACACTGTCTGGGAGAAAGATTCATTACAGATTGCTATGGTGAGAGAGGGGGGGCAGGCAAACAAAATATTTTTGTTTGGCACACTAGACAAGTTGGATAGTGTCTAAAACTACTTTAAGATGGAAACTTTTTAAAACCTAACCTTAAAATAACATTGACAGTAATCTCAAATCTCCACTTTCTAATGAGGGCTCTACTTTATGTTTATGGAAGCAGGATTCTCCTTGGAAATACAAGGTGTTTATAAAAGAATGCTGGGATTTCAAACAGTCCTTGCTTCGGGACCATTCAAGATAGTTAAAACATTAAATTTAAGGAAAAAGAAAACAAGTTTTTCTCTTTCTTTGATACATTTTGGATTAATTGAATGAAATTCAGATTTTCATCAATCTTGTATGAGCGTAAAACTGGCAATGTCTGTACGCTTAAGGTGATTGGGCGGTTTATCTGATGACTTATGACTGAATCGTTTTAGGCACAAAGACTATCTTTTACAGATAACATCATGAAGTGTTAATTTAGGTATGTTCGACTGAAGACTTTGTCGGGCAATCGATTTTTTCAGGCTTCTGATGCAGAATTTTTGGATTTCTTCGACTATGTCATCACTTGTTTTTAGCCGGCCAGGTGAATGTCTTTTCAAAACACTACGGTGCCACAAAACTCATTTAACTAGCGTAAAATTTCTTTATCAAGCAGATTTAAATTTAGTTTAATTCAACAATTGATATAAACTCTGTGAAACCCCATATAAACTACACCCGTCCTTTGTACGGGGTTGGTATACAATGCTTATTGTAGTTAAATACTCTTGCTTTGCATTTGCAATGAGAGAGGACACATTTTGAGAAAATTTGGTTTACTATAATCTACGGTATACTATAGTAGCCTATATAGAATATCTACCATAGCCATAATGTTCTACCACTTCACCTAAACAATAGAAAGAAGTAAAGTTCTCACACTCAGGTTTTTGTTGCTGCTTGGTTCAAATTAGCTGTTGTCATAAACCATGGTGCACCATAAACTAATGGTGCTGCACCCTGTTGGTAAACCGTATAACCTTTTAATGCTATTGAATTTCATAGAAACAAATTGTGTAGTTGATACAGCTGGCAAAATTATTTAATTCCTTTTAAATATGAATATTCATAAGGTTAACATGGGAAACTCTAGAGCCGCTGGGGCGGAGCCCGAAAGCATTTTTGAGGTAAGAATATGTCTATATGTTAATCGAGAATGTGAGCTATCATCATACCAAATTTCAACACTTTTGAATCTTGTATCACTGTTGTGAGAGGGCTGACTCTCCACAACCAAGTGTATCCAAGTTACTCTTGACCATCAGAGAAATATAATAAATCTAAGAGCTGTATAAAGTGAGAATTTTGGATTGACATAAATATTCTTGGCAATGTGTATCTGGAGGAACCTTGGGTATATGTCTAATCACCCTTTTTTGAAGAATAAACACTTTTTTTGCTTTCACTAGACGATCCCCATAAAAAAGTCTGTAATTCATAATTGAAGCAAAATAAGCATGATATACCGGTACTGCAATTTGTGTGTCAATAGTTATTTGTGTAACTAGTGAGCAAAGTGGCACTTTGCTGCACACGAGAGCAACGTTTACGGAATGATCTCGAGTGCAGCAAAGGCCTTTTGCACTCGTGTTACACATTATATTTTTCCTACAGTCACTATAAAGCATATAAATAATTAGTCTTTCAAACACTATACAACATGTTTTTAGGTTCAGCTGGCAGCACAAATAGGTGCCCCAGAGAAAGTAGTCCCGGTCCGTATCACTCTGCTATTTTTTCCTCGGCAAGCAATGTGCTCCGCGACTTTGAGAAAATAGTCCCGTATAATTTTGTAATTTGCAGTGGTTTCCGCGCCTAAATAAATGCTTTAAATGTATTTTCTTGTTTATTAAGATCGTAGGAATGTTTTTAAAACGTTTAAAAGAAAATTCCAGAAAGTTCAGAAATAATACCGAAAAGAAAACAAACTATAAACACGAAATGACAGGTTAAATCGTAGTTATAATAGTCAATCAGCTGCTCATAGTATTATTATCTTCAAGTGTTGCCAACCTATTTCCAAGCGTACACGGATTACGTGCATAATAGAACCACGCTGTTTTGTGTTGTTTCGTTGGAATCCTGATGTGCGCCAAAGTATAAACCGTAGGACAAAGTATAAATATGCAGCAATTAGCAGCTTTCTGTACTATAAACAGTACAAGGAAGCCAACTTTGTCGGGTGACTGTAGGAAAAATTGGTTGTATCTCTAATTACATGCAAAACTTAATGTGAGTTTGCCAATTTAAATGTGAGTATATTTTTATTCCCAAATCAACTGAATCTTGAGAAACTATCAAATTTGAGTTAGGGTTATCTCGTCTTTTATATTGGAGGCAGAGAATTGCACGCATGGTAAAAAGCATTAAGTGTTTTGAGAGAGCTTTGCCTGTCAATCGTAGGCAGCGCCACCAGCGTTGCTATGCTGAGTGCATGGCAACGCTGGTGGCGCTGCCTACGATTGACAGGCAAAGCTCTCTCAAAACACTTAATGCTTTTTACCATGCGGTTGGCATTCTGGGTTATAGTAGTATGTTTTCTGTGGTTAAGGTTAGGCCGGAATCCAAATTGAGAGGGGTTGATTAGATTATTTTCTAAATATTGTACTAAGCTAGTCGATTTTTGACAATTTTTGAAAAAATTTTGAAAAGCAAGGTAGTAACAAAAGAGGACGATAATTAGAGGGATTATTAGCATCACCTTATTAAACAAATGTTTTATTTCTGCAGAAAGTCCTCAAAGACTTAAAAAAAACACGTTATAGTAACCAAGCAATTACCATATAAAATCCCGGCATTCTTTTGTAAATACCCTGTATTTTATGGACTACCTTTGTCTTACTTGAATGTCACATTAAAATATAACTCAGCAGAACAACAAAATATCCTATTCTTTGAGGTGAAAAGCCATTGCCTGAGGCTGAGGTACATGGTAAATAAGCCATATTGGAAAGTCAGTGATGAGATAGTAAACCTGCTGCTATCTCTTAAGCCCCCCACACACTACCAGACTAGACTGTCTGGCTGCAACCAGACTGTCTTAGACGGCTTTACTACACACTTCCAGACCAGACATTCCAACATTCGTAATTGAGACACCCTGGTGAGAACTCCAACAAATGGATAAAGACTGTTGTGACGGTCGGGCCGACAGGCAGTGCTACACACTCGCAGACCAGAAAAAAATACTGGAGGGGGAACCTCAGACTGTCTGTGGTCTGAGGGTTCAACCATCAGACGCGCAGACAGTCTGGTCCGAGAAAATCAGTCTGCAGACAGCTGACAGCCCCACACACGATAAGACAGGTGCCAGAGACGCCAGACCAGGGTCTGGTCTGGTAGTGTGTGGGGACTTTGGCTATGCTGTTCGGTCCAAAGGATTATGTATCAGTGTAGAGCTTTATTTTAGAGTCCTATCTCAAAACATGGAGAAGGGTTGCTGAAGGCTGGCAATTAGGATTACAAACAGTCACAATGATATAAATACCACAATAGTTTACTGTGTTTATTTAAAAGCCAATTAGCTTTGGTTAACAGGATGGTAGAATAAAATTATACAGTATTTACAAAAGGAATATACAATAAATAATATCGCTTATAACTTAACGATTTATTTTTTAAATTATCCTATTGATGTGTCTTTAGCGATCAATTTCACCAAACACAACATCCAATGTACCTGAAACCAAACATATTTTAAATGAGTCAACAATTTATTACGTCAAAAACATTTTACAGGTAACTTAATAGGGTTACTATTGCATAAAGTCAATGGTAATAAACATCTTCCATAATCTTATCTGTGCCAATTTGAAATGTAATGATTTTATAATTAAGCCAACTCAATGTACAAAGGTTGGTTGTCCGTAAAATGGAGAGATCCCGTTACATCCAAGCAGGCTAGTTCTAATTAAAGACCAATACTTCCTCCACTGCTATTATAGCAGATTTCTACTTCTATGGAACAAATTGTTGTGTCATATTATTCAAAAATATTAAAGAAAATTAACCCTACCACCAAGAATAAATAATTACTTTATTGTAATTATTACTTAAATTAGACTTTCGTAGTCAACCACTATTAAGTTCATCACCAGTTGAAGGACGTGACTGAAGTGTTTAGACATAGAAAATTTGTGCAAGGGGTGGAGGGAACTTAGAGGTGATCCTAAACAGATGCATACTGTTTTCCACGGAGTTCAACAACTGCTTTAAATCATTAGTCTCGTTTGAAGCAGTGACCAAAGAAATTTGTATAGGAATCCTGGTATGGCTGAATAAGAGATATTGTCCAACTAGTGGGAGACATCTATAAAAGGTTAAGAGGAACGGTTAGCCGTAGTCTGAAACACGGCCATCGGAAAAATAAGTTTTCCTTCAAATTCAATGTTTTGGTGCAAAGTGATGAAATCTGCTGACCCAGCTTTCAAATGTGGACGGCATTTTGCTAACTCCCTAAGGCCCGTATGGACATTTCCTACATAGAAAATGTTTGCCTACACACCTGTCAACAGGCAACAGTAATAAACAAGGATTTGACTTCTTCCTACAAACGAAGTTACCCCTCTAGTATTTACTATGCCCAACTCACTTAAATAACTTTTTTCTCGCCGAGGCTTCCTTTGACCCCTACAATCGGATACATATCACCAATAACCTCTACCATCTAGGGGACTGGTGGGAATCTGGGGTTTTGGGTGGGGGGGAAAACTCGCTACTAGACACCTCGCATAGCCTAACCTAACCGTAATCTGGGTGTGGTGTCTAAAAGATTTCTAGACACCACACCCAGATTACGGTTAGGTAATGGTGTATAGTAATCTGGGCATAGTGTCTAGTAATCTACGTATGGTGTCTAGTATACTGGGTGTGATGTCTATTAATCCAGGTGAGGTGTCTACAGGAAGCCTCGGCGACAAAAGTCATTTGAGAAAGTTGTAGTGTTGGTGTTTAGGAAGAGTTTAAAAACGTCTTATATAACGTTTTAGGTGAGTTGGGCATTGTAAATATTAACCGACCCGCTTCCTATCATTCATAAAACGTGATTAATACTTGGCGGAAGGGTCAATTTTCTTTCATAACGAAGAGACTAATAATCTAATAAGGGTGGAAGTTGAAAAATCGACTAGAATAGTAGTGGATATGGTAGTAGAGAAGTAGAGAATAGGATCTGGTTGGTCTCAGATTTGAACTAGCTCGATTCGCTGAGGTGGGAGCTCTATGGACACCTTCATTTGCAAATTAGCTGAAGCAAATTTCAACGCATAATAATTGAGTTAAAGTTACGGTTTTGTTTGGTCATCAAACCCTGTAAGGTTTAATCTGTTGTTTTCAGATCATTACATTGGATATGATAAATTTGTTGTTTTTATGTTAGGAATTAAAACTTTTGGTCAAAAAATGTCATATGGCAATACTGTTTCTTTCTTTGTGTCCATCTTACTGATGCAGGTCTGAGCAGGAAAATGCCTCTTTATTTGAGAGGACTTGTCAACAACCTGTTATCGTTCTGTACACTTAGTAGGCAAACAGAAAACTCTCTTGTTTGCTCTATCTGCAAGGAATTATAATAACATAATTTATCCTACAACAATAACATTGAGAACTTAACTCAGATTTTTTTGGAATTGGTACATTTCGGACTCAACTATGATTTACAAGAGTTTAGGATCAACTCTAGCCAAAGCAAGTAGGTTGGGTTTGTAACCACTTTTGTTAATCTCAAACCAATTCAACTCAATCCATCACGAAACATGTAAATGATCAGAACATTACTTACCAATGATGGCGACAATGTCAGCCAACATGTGACCTTTGCCGATCTTCTCTAAAGCTGCGAGATGAGCAAAGCCAGGAGCCTTGATCTTGCACCTGTATGGCTTTGAACCTCCATCAGACACTAAGTAAACACCAAACTCTCCTACAAGAAAACACCAACAATAAGACAATATTATATCTTAAGAGGGTATGGATGAGTTTAAATTAAGTAAAAAAATTGTAAAATGAGAAATAGTAGAGCCCTTGCAATGTACAGATAGTGGATGTAAGTCTAAGAGGTGGCATGTTTGTCTTTTACCCTCTCTCTACAGCCTAAACACAAATAAATATCAGACTTCTAATAGGTCAGTAAATCATTAAATCAGTCTGTTAAGGCCCAATTGATATATAATCAACTCAATACAGTGTAGTGCAGTTATAATATACTGTACAAACAAAATAGAAACATATGTTATAAAATACCCCCGCCGCAGCAAACCTGCCGACTAAGCGAATTTCCATTTGTCTGAATTGATTTTCAGTTAAATATATTTTAATAACATTAGGTTTAACGAGTACCTAGGTTTGCTGCTACAAGGAAACTAATAAAGTGTGTTTTTGAGTAAAATATTTATAGCTTAGTACAAAATAAATAAATTTGCCAAGTTTGATCAAAATATATTCATAAACAAGCAAACTACAACATTTGACAATTTTCTCCATAAGAATAACATGGGAATTTTAAATTTACAATTTTTTTAATTTTCTCCGTTACTAATATTCGAACAAAAATACTTTTATATACTAAATTATTTGTTTTTTTAAGCTCTTTAAAAAGGTCTAAAGAGAAATTGGGAAATTTTGTGTTTTGAGGGTCAAAAGTGAGAAAAACCAATTTTTACCCCATAAAACCCCCCGTAAAGCCCCGTTCCCATGGTCCGATCGTGCTGGTTCGCGAACTCATTCAAGTTTATCCCGCTTTACACCTTTAAACCAAATTTCATCAAAATCGGACAAAAATTACTCAAGTTATCGCGTTCACGGACGTATATATATATATATATATATATATAAGTCTATATATATATATATATATATATATACATATATAAAAATTTGAACGAATAGTGTTTTTGGCCTCTGGGGACATCAAAATGAAAAAGTAAATCGGTCCCGGGTCTAGGTCTTACCGTGCCACCTACGGTACCCTAATAGCTACTTCCCTATAGGGAAATTCGCTAAAAACAACTATTAGAAGAATAAAATGAAAATAAAGAATTGAAAATGAAGTGAGTGTTTAACCCCTTCGCTTAAACTTATTTTTACACCTAACCGGGCCAAAAAATGAATTATTTCTGTGTAATTTTACACAATTTACAATATTTTTACCTGCACTCAGAATTTTGTATTTGTATATCAAATACTGTTATTTTTCTAATCAGAATTGAATTTAGATTTAAATAAACGGTATCAGCATTCTGACACATACTTTCTCCCATAAGTTTGTCAACAACCTTTATTATGTGTAAACGGTGAGAGTAAATATACGGAAATGGGATTTTGTACAATTTTGTTGAGAATTTAAAGGACTATAACATACTAAATTTTTATCAAAATTGTTCGAGCCAATTTTGGGAAATCCGATTTTTCCGTTATTTTATGGGGTTTTTATGGGGAAATAACATAATTTACAATAACTTTTGAACCGTAATTTTTACAGAAAAGGGATTTGTACCATTTTGTTTAGAATATAAAGGACTATAACATACTAAATTTTTATCAAAATCGTTTGGGCCATTTTTGGGAAAATCCTATTTTTCTGTAATTTTATGGGGTTTTATGGGAATATCCCCATCTAAAATCAAAATTTCTAAAAAATGAAAAAAAAACTATCAAAATTGTAAGGACCATAACCTACTATGTTAAATCAAAACTGGATTTTTGTCTAAAATCCTATTTTTCGTTATTTTATGGGGTTTTTATGGGAAAATAACATAATTTACCATAACTTTTGAACCGTAATTTTTACAGAAATGGGATTTGTACCATCTTATTCAGAATTTAAAGGGCTACAACATACTAAATTTTAGTCAAAATCGTTCGGGCCATTTTTGAGAAAATCCGATTTTCCCGGTTTTTTATGGGTTTTTATGGGAAAATCCCCATTAAAAATCAAAATTTCAAAAAAATGAAAAAAACGCCTGGAGATACCATGGATTAGAACCTAAATACCAAATTTCATCGAAATCGGACCACAGGTGTAGTCTCTAGCTCTGTACACATCCAGACACACAGACACACACACACACACACACACACACACACACACAGACATCACTTCGAAAACCACTTTTTTGGGTCCAGGGGGACCCAAAACGAATATATCCACTCAAAACTCAAACTCGAAAATTTTGACGAAAACAATACTTTCTCCATATACTATGGTATAGGGGGAGAAAGTAAAAAACAAACATTTTATTGGTTACAAGTATTTTTATTATTTTTTTATACCATATAATACAAAAAAAATTTTTGAATTTTTTTTATTTTTGCCTTTTTTAAAAGTTTTTGACTATAAAAGTTAAAAATATCTTACTGTTCTGCCTTAAAATACTGATTGACATGTTGTAGACTCAAAAAGATATCAAGCAAAGTTCAACTTAGTATGATATGTATTGAAACATTCGGGTAGGTGAAGCGCAACAAGGCACATTTCGCACTCCCACCGACTGTCACTACGCTTCCCTTGTGCACTACAAACTTTACAGCGTCTTGATGGGTTTTGCTTTACTTCATTAGGTGGGATTTGTCTTGGGAAATGACCCCAAGAAGCTGCTTGAAGCCGTAGAGGGGTTTCAGATGTTGATGGCCGCCCTCTTCGTTTGTAGGCCGGTAGTTGTCTGGTCTGGAACACTTGCTCCGTAAATTTACTTTTGAATTCAGCAAATCCTATCTTCTTCTGGGTGATTTTTTTAAAAACAACATAAGAGTTGAAGAGAGCTATGTCCAAAATGTAAAAAAAATCTTCTTATACCCTTTAGCATATCTCCTCATCGTAGGAAAAGAAGCGAGCTGTTGGTCTTCTCGGTCGATACCGCCCATCGAGCTGTTGTAATAGAGGATGGGTTCAGGCTTGGTAATCACCTCACCGCTGACTCTGTCTCTCTTTCCAGTTGTTTTTTTGTCTCCCTTACTGTGGAAAGTAGACAAGACACACACTTCTTTCTTGTCCTGCCATCTAAGGGCCATCATGTCGTGGCTAAACGCAACTTCATACTCACCGACATCAAGTTTTCCACTTTTGAAGCTGTCAGGCATATTTGTCCTCCAAGAGTTCACCGTGCCGATCACATTGAAACCGATATGTTTCAATCTATAGTAGAGGAGAGGTGAGGAATACCAGTTGTCAATTGTGAGGGTATGACCATTACCGGAACATTCCTTGACCATTTCAATGACTATGGCCTCGCTCACCAAAAGTTTATCATCCTCAGCAGTATCTCCACCCCCTTCTTCCACTGTTTCGCCTTGTTTCACTTCAGCACCGGTGTATATTTTAAATTTTGTACAGTATCCACTGCTTGACTCACAACATTTGTAAAATTTGATTCCGAACCTGGCTCTTTTCTTGGGGTTGAATTGCACATACCCCAACCTCCCACGAAATTTCATCAAGCTTTCATCTACTGCAATGTTTTCATCGGCCAAATATAACCGTGAAAACTTTTGATTCATGTAATCAATGACATACCTCAGTTTCCACAGTTTGTCATTCTGAGGCTTATTTTTATTATCACAAATATGGAACATTGTTGATAAGAGCAAAAACCTACGAAAAGGCATAACTTTTCGAAAAAACGGAGTCTCAGTAGTAGCAGTAGGGGCCCAATACGATTGAATGGTCCTTTTCTTCACAAGTGACATCAAAACACATAGACTGTAAAAACATGCCATTTCATCAGGAGTTGTTTCAAACCATTCAGAGAGTAACTGTTCATCTTTACCACTTGCATTATTTTTTTCAATTGTCTCTTCGGCGATTTTGTTCGTTTCTGTAGAAACATGTTGCCAAAAATCATCCTCGACAAACGCGTTGAATACTTCAACTTCAGATGGAGAAGGACCTAAATTTCTTGCTAAGCTTGCCCTGACACCAGGACAGCCTGTAAAAGGTATTTTGAAAATACTATTGTCTTCTATGGTGTTGGTCCATTTCCAACCTTGTTTTTTCTTTTTCTTAGCTGTTTTAGGTTGGCCCTTAGACCGTTTAGTAGGCTTAGGTAGCACTAAACTAGGAATTTTACCTTTAGGCCTACCTCGTTTACTTCCCCTTCCCCTCGATCTACCAATAGTTGCACCTCTACTATACTCAGGTACTTGACAAGGAATGGTTTCAATAAAACTAGGGTCATCAGCCTCAGCCTCCTCACTGGGTGTAGGAGATAGTGCAGGTGCAATTACCCTACCTCGGTAAATTTTTTCCATAAATCCAACAGGGTTTTCATCATCAGAACTTTGCTGTTCATAGGACACAGGACTAGGCCTATAAGGCACATTTTGAGGGGACATAGGTCGGGCATAACTACAGGAGGGCTGGTCATGCAAACAATCATTATTTACAGGCTTAGGCCTAACATGCAGGTCATGCAAACAATCACTATTTATAACAGGCCTAGGGCTAGCATGCTCTGTCACACCATTATCAGCTAAATCTTGAGGTTCACAGTCAGCAATACTTATACTATTGCATGCTTCACTTACGTGTTCATTGTTTATTTCTAATAATTCATCATCACTCTCAAGCCTTTCTTCAAATAAATAACAATCACTGTCTGAGTCACTGTCACATTCAATTAGTTTAGCAATTTCACTTTCGTCCAATTCCCTTCCACACTCATCAACAAATAAAAAGTTACTCATCTTATTTATTTTATAAAACAACTATTTGCAAACGAAAAATAGAATTCAACATAATATAAATACTGTTGTGAAATGACGATGTAAACATAAACAAACAAGGCAGACAGCTGCCAAGACAACGTTCCCAACGTCAGCTGGTAAATCGTAATTTTCAATTGATTGTTTTTGCCAATTGGGCAGGCCGTGGACGACTAAAATACAACCAAATGAAAGCCTGAAGCTTGCAGAAAAAGAAGCATATGCGATCTGTTGGATTTTTTGGGAACTAACTCGGCAAATATTGGTTTTAATGGCGGACGGCGATTCGCCGTCGCTTCACACAATGGCTCGCGGGAGCACGACGGCGAATCGCCGTCGCTTTAAGCGAAGGGGTTAAGTTGTTCTCAGTTAATACTTACAAACATTTATAACTAACAAAACTTTATTTAAAATCAAGTTATCAAAAACACAGTCTATACGCCAGAAGAATTAAACAGAATAACGGCATTGAACTAATCATGTTGGCATATCATTATTCACATTTGTCTAAGTTAAAAGTAATATTAATCTAAAAACGTGTAAGCTTTCTCTTCAACCACTTTAACGAGGATAACCTATTTTTTACATCAATCTGTAGAGAAAGTGTCTAGTTTCCAACTTAGATGAAGTTTCAAAAAGTTCATTTTTGAATAGGGATGGACGGGTCCTGAAATTTTGGAAAATTTTCAGGAAATTTTTTTTTGATTTTTGAGACGGGATTACATTTGATTTGGGACATTTGGACATTTGGGATTTGGGATTTGTACATTTGATTACATTAGTTGTTACATTACATTTGGGATTATATTTGATTTGATCGTCGGCGATTTTTCCGCTTCGCGAGTGACGATGACGCTGCTATCGCGAGAGATGTCCACAATAGTTCCGCGAAGTCATTTCAATGATCACGACGTGACCTCGTAGTCATACCGACGATCATGCCATGACCGTAGTCATACAGAGGATCACGCCATGACCGCGGGGTCATACCGACAATCACGCTGTGACTGCGAGACATACCGACGATCACGCCATGACCGCAGGGTCATACCGACGATCACGCCATGACCGCGGAGTCATTTTGACCGCTTTTATAGATCAGTGCCACAAATGGTAAAAATTGATTTTGTTTTTCTTGTTTGGTAACTGCAATACTCAAGACATTTTTTTATGCACATGAAAAAATCCCATCCCGTCCTGTCCCAAAAATCGGGTAGGAAATAAAAATCCCGTCCCAAACCAAAAATTCATCCCGTCAATCCCTTTTTTTGAACTGAAAAATGTCAGCTTACATTACTTTTTAAAACGTTTTTATTAGCTTGCTTTCTTGTCCGGTACAAATTTTGCAATGAATTTTATACTAACTTCCCGATGAGCTAGAGACTTGAAACTTGAAACATAGCTCACAAATGGAAGACAATGCAATATTATATAATTTAATTTTCATAATTCCCTTGGGCTACGCCCCATGGGCTTGTTTTTATTAGCTCGCTTTCCTACAAATTTTGATATCAATTTCAAACCAAGTTTCCAATGAGCTAGAGACTTGAAATATGAAACATAGCTCACAAATGGATGACAATGCAATATTATATCATTTAATTTTCATATTTCCTTTGGGCTACGCCCCATGGGCTTCCAAATTTTCCATGTTTACATTTTGAAAGAATGTAAATATATCAATTAATTTAAGTCAGCTGTAAATGCTTAAATTTGACAGTTCGAAGAGCAGAGGTTAAGAGGTACAGGTTATGCTCCCAAGAGATTCTTTATACACTATAACTAAAAAGTAGAAAATAATTTATAAATAAAAACCCTTTTTTTAAAATAAAACGTTTTTAAACGCACTAAAAAGTAGAAAATAATTTATAAATATGTGGAGGGTATAAATACTTGTAAGATTTAAAACTAAAAACGTGGGGTTCATGCAATTGATAATAATAAATTTGTTCAATTAGGTGAAGGGTAGTTGTAAATTATCTATTGCATGAACCCCACGTTTTTTATTTTAAATCTTACAAGTATTTATACCCTCCACATATTTATAAATTATTTTCTACTTTTTAGTGCGTTTAAAAACGTTTTATTTTAAAAAAGGGTTTTTATTTATAAATTACTTATATTCAATTTGACTTATTACTTTAAGCTTTTAGCATAAGGTTAGTTTGAAATAACAATCTGAAGGAGTTTCAACCTTTAGGGGCCTCAATAGCTGTGTACGTAGCACCAGGTGGTACTGGGTAGCCTTGAGTGAATAGCTTGAAGTGATGAATCAAAGCTTCCATAGACGTCTGCAATAAAACATTTCCACATGTATTTCAACAAAGTATGACTGGACCTCAAGGAAAATACCAGAATTATGGTATAAACCTTTGAACTAAATGGATTTCTAAGATATTTTGCTTGTCTTATGATAACAAAAATCAAAATAAATCTAAGGCAAGCCACATATACAATAACAATGAATACAAAGTAGCAAAGTTACTGATAAAACTATATTCTTGCCAGAGTGTTTGTTACTTTAATAGTTAATAACACATTAGAGATGCTTTAGCTTACAATATAAGTCATCTTGTCAGTTTTAAAATTTGGCATATTTGACAGTATTGATCATTAAATAACATGTGTTAAAATATATTTTGTCTGTAATATATTCTGTAAAATATATTAAAATTATTTTTAAAAATATCTAAAATAACACCTACAGCATGAATGATACTAAACATTCTATTCATTAAAAGGATTACCAGACAATAAATAAAAACCTAGATTCAAAAACCAGTGACAAAAGTAACATGAGAATGGAATGTCTAGTAGAACCGTGGTAGGTATACCTTCATTTCAGCCCTGGATGGAGTTGATATTTTCATGTCGTCGGTTTTCACCTCTCCAGGAGGCATGTTGTTGAGACACTGTTCTATGATTCTCAGAGACTGCCTCATTTCTTCAATTCGGCACAGGTATCTGAACAGTCATAAGTAACTATCACATCGTTTATCAAACAGAAACTATAAAAAAAGTTCACACCAAGATACAAAAATATACAGATAGCTTCAAAACTGAATAATATGAATCAAGAAGATGGTGGTGGATTATCACTAGGGGTGTGTCGATTCTTGATACTACAGATTCTTTAACATTTGAATCAGCATTGAGAATTAATCATCAAGAGTTAATATCGGTACCCAGAAAGTCCAAGAAGATTGCGTAAATTCACGCTTTTGCCGCGATTGCCGATGATGCCTAAAAGGTTTAAGGGGAAAAGGTTTCCGTTGCCACGGGGATGATGATCACACAGGAGATGATAAAAATTTTGTCGCAATCACGGAAGACATTGATCATGTCTAAACAACTGTTCGCGCATGTAAGATGGTGATTGCGACTGATATTCAGTGAATATTTTGCTGCGATCGTGTCAGACAATGATGATAATTCCGTAACCGCAGGTGATATTCAGGGTTTTGCTGTGACCGTGGATGACAATGATGATGTTTCCATGACCGGAGGAGATATTCTGGATTTTGCCATGACCGTGGGAGATGATGATAATGTCTACACGACCGCAGGAGATGTTTATGATTTAGCCACGATTGTGGAAGACGATGATGGTTTAGTGACCTCAGGTGATGTTCAGGGTTTGCTGCGATCATAACAGATGATCATGATAATGATGGTGGTGGTGACGATTACGGTGACATCATTGTTGTCACCCACAGTCTTGTCAAATTATTAGTTTTAGAAAATATTATTCAATTCCTGTAAAAATATTAGTTTTTGTAAACACTTGTAAACACCAGTTTATTTACTGGCAAAGATCAGTCGGTTCTTTGGTCAGGACCACTACTTATTAAAAGCTTAATGATCGTCAGCTGGGTCTAGCTACTGACCTTTCTCAAAACTGAACTGGCGATCTGCTGATTACTGGGCCACTCAAGTTCAATTAATTTAGTCAAATATAAACTTTCATTTCCAATACCAACCCACTTAAACAATTTTATTTTTCATCCTGAGGAATCTTTTTCACAACATATACACTTAAGTTCTGTGCTGTTTCCATACCTGTCGTAGCAGTCTCCCTTGGTGCCGATGGGAACGTCAAACTCTACCAAATGATAAGCGTCGTACGGCTGAGACTTACGCAGATCCCATTTGATTCCAGAGCCTCGTAGCATAACTCCACTGATTGAACAAACATTTTGTAAAATTGATTATGTCATTAAAATGTTGTATTTAGGTTTAAAATATGAGTTGTAGATAATTTATTCAAGTATTTCAATTGGATAAAAATGTATTTCTTTAAATAAGCCAGTAGATGTTGTGCTTAGTTTAAACTTATCAAAAAATAATAATTTAAATGTTCTCTGAAAAAATGTTGAAACAAGTTGGTTTTTTGTCTCTCTAAACCCATACACAGGTGAGAATCGCGCAAAAGCATGGGTGCAGCTGGATTATAGTGCAATTCAGTATTAGCTGACAGCCACTCTCTCAAGTGAATTGAACACAAAAATCACACGATGACTGATTGCCGCAACCGGTGTCACAAGATTCTCCACTGTGTCAATCGGGCCTATGCAATTTTACTTTTTTTGTTTTGCCATTCCCAGAAGCCAAAAACACATTCCGTTCAAATTTAGTTTCCCTTATTTTTTAATTTCAAAATATGAAATGTTGCTATTTATTTATAAAACATAAATTACTCAACATACTGTTGTTTAATTTAAAAATACTTGCCACATAACAAACAACACACACACAATGAAACATTTACTTTACAATATATATATATATAATCTTGGCAAGGGCTGAGTTATTTATATTTGACACAAAGAAAAAGGGTTTGAAAATGGGGTTTGAAACTAGTTATCCACTAGAAACAATAGGATCGATTGAAACAGGTCAGTAACCTTATTTGTGAAACCTAAGTACTCATTAAAATTAATTTTAGTGAAATCTAAATATATAAAGTGCAAAGCTCTCACTGACTGACTGACTCACTAACTCACTCATCATTAATTCTCCTACTCTCCCCTCTCTTTACCTAGGAGGCTTAAATTTGGTACACTGATTCTTTAGGTATCATCTGATCAGACTTTTGGGCTCCGTCCCCAAATTATAACAATCTGACAATTATAACAACATTTTTTGGTGAACATCCAATTATGCAAATAGAAATCCACATAGTCTGCATGTTGCTGCAGGGGGTACTATCCTTACTATGGTAAGTTTGTGCAAGTCGATCATATTATTTTGCATATCCTCCTTTGCATGAAGTTCATTTTTGGTGATGGTAAGTTAGAGCAATTTTAAAGGAGCAAACATTTCCTATCCAAAACAGTAAATACCCCCGCCGCAACAAACCTGCAGACTAAGCGAATTTCCAATTTCATGATTGAATCTTCACTAAAATATGTTTTTTAAAACAATATACAGGGTAGAAAAAAGTCCCCGGGCCAGTTGAATATTTCAAAAATTAATAAAGATAGAGCTTTAAAACTTGGTACACAGTTACTAGGCATTAAATTCATTTTAACACAATATTCAGTGATGCGCTACCTCGCCAGGGGAACCTCACTACCTCGCCCGCCAGATGTCAATAAAGAAAATCTTAAATGTAAGCAAAGGTTGATATGCAGAATGCAGATCAAATTTTTAAAGGTCTTAGTAAAGTACAATGCCGCAAACTTGAACTCAAACGGACATCCAAGTAAAAAATGACAGCTATTTAAACATGCATTGCATTTGCAATGCTATTATATTATGCTATTATTATGCTACTTCTGCAGGGCCTGTAGGGACTGTGTGCGCCTGTTAGAAGTCGGAAGAAAATCATAAACTTAAGGTCATTATGCACATCACATCAAAGGTATTTATTATTAAAATGCAATGCCACAAATTTGAGCACAAAAGAACAACTGAGTAAAAAATGGCAAATTTTAAGAAATTTTTGAACAGCTGCGATTTTTGACTCAGTTGTCCGTTGAGGAGGTAGCGTATCACTGAATAATGTGTTGAAATGATTTCAATTCCCAGTAACTGTGTAACAAGCTTTGAAGCTCTATCTCTATTTTTTTTTATATTTAACTGTCCCAGGACTTTTTCCCACCCTGTATACACTCCCTATATCTAAACATTACTTTAATATTTGAGAGTGGGGCCTACCTACTTAGGTTTGCTGCTACAGGGAAGGGAAAAGGTTTTTTCATTCAAATGTTCATAGTACAGTAGAGACTCAAAAATCCGAACCGCTCCTGAGAGTTTTAAAATATTGAATTAGCACAGGCAACAGATGTTTTACAATTTCGTGGAACAAACAGTCAGCTCCCGGCAGGGAAATGAGTGAACGGGCCTGGCCAGTCTGTCTTTGTTCGTTTCCAATGTATAAACTCTACATATTTTTTCAAGAAACGAATTACACTAATGTAACAAAAATCATTGTTTTTATTTCATTCACTGTATCCTAGAACTGTATTTTTAATACTGTAGGCCTAAACATGTGTCTATTAGGCATTTCTAGGCTATGTTTGAAAATACAAACAAATCGGTAGGTAATCTGAATTACTAGGGATGGGCTGATTCCGATTCTCGATACCTTCGATACCAGTGGTATCAAAGAATCGTCAATACTCGATACTTCGCTTCTTTGTACTCGATACCGATTCTTGTAAAGAGTGGCACATCATAGTTTATTTGGAATACTCCGAAATCAGCTTATATAAATAATTCCAAGTTCATTATCTCACATTCGTAATAGTTTTTTAATCCAAAATAGCTTGCGGTTCCATTTCACAATTAATGACGTGATCAACTCAACTGACAAAAAATAGTTTAACGAGTACTTAGGTTTGCTGCAACAGAGAAGGTAAAGGTTTTTTTTTGTAAAATGTTAATAGTTTAGTAAAAAATAAATGCATTTTCCAAATTTGATCAAAATATGTTCATAAACAAGCAAGCTACAACAGTTTACTTATTCTCCATAAGGATAACACAGGAATTTTAAATTTAAAATTTTTTGGAATTTTCCCTGTAACCATAATTGTAATGGTTGCAATAACCCTGTAAATGTTGCAGTATTTGTAAACAACATTTAATGTATACATATCAGTGACAGTTAGAAGTGAGAATCTTAACCCAAACAGCTGTTTGTTATTTCATAAATGATGTGTGTAGTAAACATTGGGAGAAAACATGACAAAAATCGCACAAAATTGGGTTTTTGATGGTTCGTTATTTTATTTCCAAAGTAGCGAGGCCATATTTTAATAGCCAAAGACACTCTGACCAATCCAGTGAACACAGAAAATGATTTGAATCTTGATGGGTACTCCAGTTTTCTCGGAGTAGGCCGCGTAAATTGACATTTTGGCGTTACAGGCAGAATGTCAGAGAGACAGAAATTGAGACAAGACTCGCAATAACCAAAAACTGCATGATTCTTTGCAATGTACAGACAAAACTGTAATTTTATTTATATAGATGCATAGAAATTTGAACAAATAGTGTTTTTGGCCCCTGGGGACGTAAAAATAAAAAACGGTCCCGGGCCCAGGTCTTACCGTGCCACCTATGGTAATAGCTACTTCCCTAAAGGAAAATTCGCTAAAACGAAGTTTCCAAAACATTTTGTGTCTTTAAATCCGAAAGTTTTTGTCATTAATTTCCATGACTTTCCATGCCTATCCATGACCATTTACCATTGATTTCTATGACTCACGAACTTTACTCGAAAATTATAATATAACATTCACACACAAATAATACTGCCTGGATAAGTTATTTCACAGAAAATAATGAAATATGTATTAACAGATAACAATGGAGTACAATAGGTACAACAATGAACTAATAGAAACTCAAAACTCATAAGCTAATCCAACTGTAATAAATTTAACTGTCATACATTTGCAAAAAAATCCTGAAAAATGCTACAATAGTCGGGGTTACAGCCAACTAGAGTATTGAAAGGTCCCTTCAAATCCACCCATCATTGGGGATTTCCATGACTTTCCATTACTTTTTGCCTATTTCCATTACTTTCAATGAAGAGATTTTTTTCCATGACTATCCCTGACTCTCCAGAATGTGGACATCCATTATTATTGAAATTTGATTACTTTTGATTAAAATAATCCAAATATCCAGATATAAGCAATAGTATTCCATGGTCTCATGAAATATGAAAGTGTGCGTGTCTGGGCCCAACCTGAAGCCATAGTTAAGGGCCTCCTCAGCTGTCACCACTCCGATGTCCTGTGTCCGCTGAACCCACAGTCTGTTGGTCGTCAACAAGTCCTCAACTTCATCGATACGTTCGCCAAACTTGACGGTGAACTCATAAATATCCTCCATCAGTCCAAGTGGAAGGTCCTATAAATGAACCATTGTTCAAAATTTTATTTACCAAACGTTATTGATTTAATAAAGGTATCTGGGTGTATGAGTGGTTATAGTGCTTGCCTTCAAATTTTAAGCTAGCTGGTAGCTGGTTTATTCCCAAAGTGGGATCCATTCTCAAACCTGATACTACTGATTGTTGTTGGACTATCAATTTATGATGATGTCCAACAACAGGTCAAACTTGGGTAGCAACAACTCCAGGGTTTGGACTATTCCCTTAAAATGCCAATGGTGTAAAATCACACAACATTGTTACTAAGATAACCGAAGAAAGGAGCTACTCAAATTGGTACAGTATCAACTAGCAGGCGACACTTACAGAGGAGTCTGATGACTGGTAAGGAATCTGTTAGCGGTTAACAACGATTTATTAAATTTTACTATAATCGTTCTTTTAGTTTTAATTTATATCGGTTTAAGTAAGTCTGCAGACATTGTGAATTTTGGCATTGGACCCTAACTTTGAATGTGGGTGCAAGGAAAGCTGCTTACAACAAAGGATAGTCAATCATTGTGTTGTACATCATTGATGTGAGTTTTTTTCTTTTTATCTAAAATATAAAAAACAAAGCACACATTGAAACACCTAACCCAGTGGTCGGATAAGGCTGGGTTGCAAACTAATTTAATTGAATGTTGGATCAAAATTTTATGGGGAAAGGAAAATTAAAAAAAAATTTCATGCATATTGCTTAAAGAAAATGAAAATGCTTGTAAGCACTAACATATAGATCAATTTTGAATTAGCTTAAGAGTTTTCGATGATCTAACGACACACACCAGAGCCACTCCACCAGGTCGGACGTAAGCTGCGTGCATCCGAGCTCCGGACACTCTCTCGTAAAACTCCATCATCTTCTCACGTTCTTCAAACAACCAGAAGAATGGAGTCATGGCACCTATATCCAGAGCATGAGTGCCCACTGCCATAATGTGGTTCAGTATTCTTGTAATTTCAGCAAAAAGTGCTGTAAAGAACAATAGTTTATGTAAATAATCTGCTTAAGTTTATAAAGTGACACTTAGTTTTATGGTTGGGGAGAAAGTTTAAAAAGTTTTTTTTTTAGACTATTGTTGTTACAGATATATTTGCAGGAAAATCTATCAAAATTGTTCTACAAAACTCAATCACTGCAACTCTCTCCCCAATTAAAGTACCTATTATTCTACTTTATCACTACTAGTGTAGCAAATTAGTTTTTACTCAAACATCAAGAATTTTCAGTCTTGCTTAAGCCACTATCTTTTGCAGACGTGTCCGCCTACCTTCCATTTTTATTTTGTACCAATAGGAAATCTTTTCTTACAGGATTTTGAGTTTCTTGTTTTGACTACAATATGATTTTTTAGCTTTGGTTGGTGTACTGATCTTTTTTTGTTTTAGGTACTTTTTGTTTGAGGACAGGATTTCAGATCACAAAATAGGGGGGTAAAGTGACTTTTTATCCGAGCTTCAGTTTCAAGGACAAAGGTTGAGCGAGGGTTGAAAAGACACTTTTTGTCCATTTGATGAACTATATTTTTCTTCATATTGCACAATTATTTAACAAACTAAAACAGAAAATGAAAATGATTTTATGTAAAGATAACCCCTCAAAACAATTTCCAACTTGTTTTCAATGTTGCTAATGCAAACTAACACCTGGTTAGAAAGTGATTCAATCATTTAGTATAGCCTATTAAGATTGTGTTTCAGTGTACATTATACTATCGATCGATATTTCAAATTACTTGACAAGAAAGCAACAATAAGCTACAACTGATTAAATCAATCAGTACACAATTTCGATACCTGTGATTGCTTACAATCGAAGTTTACAAATGAGTTTAAAACATCTGACTTTTAATGCCTAGGAAGTAAAAGAATTACTTTGGACCCACAACGTATGTATTAAAAACTTTTTCAGCTGCAGTATGACAAAGTTGTTTTATGATGGAAAATGTCCGCAATCATCCCTTAATAACACCCCCCTTTAACACATAAACTTACCATGACTCAAAACAAACTTCAAACAAACCAAAAACCTCTAACAAATGATTCTTTAAATTTATTATTGAATGTACCAAGAAATGTAGTCAGAAGTGCACATTGCCCAAAAGGTTCAAAATTGGACACTCACTTCGGATGTATTTGGCGCGCATGGGTATATCGATGTTCAGCAGTTTCTCAACGGCCAGTGAGTAACACTGCTCATTGCACATCATGGACACATAGTCCAGCCGGTCAAAGTAGGGCAAAGCCTGAGTGTATGTCTTGTACTCAATCAGCTTCTCTGTGCCTCTGTGGAGCAGACCGATATGGGGGTCGGCTCGCACAACCGTCTGAAAACATCAAACATAATTATGGTATGGTTTGTTAACAAACCAATATTTACTAATTATTCATTTAACCTTTATTCTGTCTCCCTAACTGGAATATGAGAACTAATTGTGTTAAGTTTTCAGTAATAGTAATACATAGATCCTATTCATCATTCAGTACAACTATACCATATTTTGAATAATTTTAAAGGTAGAAGCAAATAGTTAAGCCTAAATTTAATTTGACAGTATAAATGTTTTATTGAATTTATTGTATGGGCCTGAGATAAGGTTCTACATTAGGCAACATTGGCAATTTCAAGCTTAGTAATTACTGTCAAACCTCGATACAACGAATCTTAAGGGACCGACCTGAATAATCGTTATATTGAGGATTTCATTAAAATGAGGTTTGCGTTTGGTTAAAATAATCTAAACCTCAACCTACCTCAATAACGGTAGTTTGAGGTTTAAATTATTTTATTCTTCAATTAAAAAAGGAAGCTTGAGGAAACAGGACATAAAACTTTTGTGTTAGAAAACATTAGCCAACAACAGAACATACTTGTAAACACAAACATGAATTGGGACAACGAAGGAAATCATCTATCTATATAAATAAAAATGAATCCTTTTTTTGATGGTATTCCATAACTTGAAAATGAGGGCACCGAATTGGATGATTCTTTTTTTGTTGTGTTCCTTAGTGCCAGGGGAAGGTTTTTATGTAAGGAAATTTATAATCTATCCAATCAATATTTAGTCATTTTATTTTTAAAATTAAAAAAAAGTTGCCTTTACATTAGCATTGAAGGAAAATATTTTCATTAAACTGTAGGATACAATAACATGTGTTAAAAAAAGCATGTGTTAATTTTCGGATTTGCAACCAAAAGGTGAGTGAGCGTAGCGAACAAACTTCAACCATGACATGATTGAACGATAAGAACAGTTCATCTTGAAAATTAACGAGCTAAAAAAAACTAAAAAATCATTAAAATGTCATTGATTTGTATTTAACTGTACAATGGCCAATTACCAGCACCTCAGGTGAGTCAGCCTCCTAGGCCTAGGCCTAGACCTCTAGACAAACTGAAGCTGCAAACATTGGAATTCCTGGAATTGCACCTAATGATCCTGATGTTCCTCCTGGACCATTTATTGGGCCCATAAATGTAAGCGTGAATCCTAGATGGGTAAGAATAATTCCACTTGGACGGGAGTTTGATGTAGAGGAAAAGTTTTAAGTGAGACACCCAGGAATTAGAAATTGCCTGCCCCGTAATAGTAACCCTATTGAACACTAAAAAAAAGAAATAAAAAAATAGACTATTAGAGCAAGTCTAAATGTCAAGCAACATCTTTTTTTCTCTAGTGTTATGTCCCTAAATAGATTTGAAGATATGCGGTCGATGATCCAAGTCAGTTCTCTTTGTTTTATTCCTAAAGACCAACCTAACCACGATCCTTGGTATAAAGGAAGGTTTTTCTTGGATTCAATGAATGCAGCATTCAAAAAATATTTCATTCCAGATCAGAACATATTTCTTGACGAATCGATGATAGGCATGAAGGATAGGTGTGTTTACATCAAGTATATGTCCAACAGGCGACATGCCAGATTCGGTATCAAAAAGTTTGAAATTTGTGACAGCGAAACTGGGTATGTTTTACTTTATCCTGACAAGGGGTTTTTAGAAGGTCAAGATGGAGATGACCATTTTACACAAAAGGTAGTTATGTATTTAATGAGAAAGTGTAGTTTGTTGGGAAAGGGATGCCATTTGTTCATGGACAATTACCTACTTTTTCTAAGCTACCGGTGAAACAAAAGTTTTTAGATCACAAAACATACCCAACTGGCACATTAAATAAAAAATCAAGATCTTTAAAAAAAGGTAATTGAAACTAAATTAGAAGCCTTGCAAAGCATTTATTTCAGGAAAAAGACATTTTATTGGTAGTATGGTAGGTTACAAGCAGAAAGAAAATCGGAAACCTGTATATTTGATTACTACTGGCTGTTATGCTAAAAAAGACATTGTAACGAGTAAGAGTGGGAGACAAGCACGTAAGCCAATCCTAATCCATAAGAATGGTGACCCTAAACATGGGGGGGGGGGAGTAGACTTAAAAGGTGTTTTCATTGTTAGTTGGACTCTATTTCATTGGGGGTTCATATACTCATGTGCTCCTATGGACAAGCCACCATTCAAGGAACTTGTTATCTATATTGAGATTCGTTATACCGAGGTTAGACTGTAGGCCTATTAACCAATTAGTTTAAGACCTAAGAATGATACATAAAAACACAGAATATGTTTAAATGAACAAAACATTGAATTAAACATATTGCGACTGTCCTCACCTCTCCGTCCAGTTCCAGAACCAGACGCAAAACGCCATGAGCTGCCGGGTGTTGAGGCCCAAAGTTCAATGCCAAGTTCCTCACCTGCTTCTCCGGGATTGATGGTACATTCTGCCAGTTTTGCTATAAATTCAAATACGAGGATAATTTATTTATTTAGGCCTATGGAAAATTTGCCATTTTTACAATCAATTACACGTATACAAATTTGTGGATAATATCAATACCACATACAAACAGTGACTTTTACATTGTATTATATCCAAGTGCTTTATAAATACATGCTAACACTAATAGAATTTGATACGAAGAAACAAATTAAACTGTAACTGAAATATTATCACATTATGAATAAACCGTATCAGCAATCTGATACTTACTTTCTCCCATTAGCTTGTCAACAACCCTTATCATGGCACATGGGTAAGCGGTGAGAGTATCTTTGATAATTTATGGGGAATATCACAAAAGTGACACTAGACATTAACTTTTGAACCGTAATGTTTTAGAGCGATGGGGGTTATACTACCTTGTTTGGAGTCAAAAGGACTATAACATAAGTTACTAGATCTTGACAAATATCGTTAGGGTTATTTTGGGAAAAAAATTCAATTTTATGGGAAAATCAACATTCAATATACAAATTTCCCAACAAAAAAAAAACCCAGGAGATACCCTGAATTAATACACCCGCACACCTAAATATACAATCACCTTCACCTATTGAACTAATGTATTATTATCAATAGCATGAACTCCATGTATTATTATCAATAGCATGAACTCCATGTATTATTATCAATAGCATGAACTCCACGTTTTTTGTTTTAAATCTTACAAGTATTTATACTCTCCACATATTTATAAATTATTTTCTACTTTTTAGTTTTTAATGTGTGTGGATGTTAAATGTATTTCAAGCTTCTATATAAGATTAAGACTGAGGCATGTGGGAAATTTAAGGTTTATTTGAGTTTCTTTTCATATAATTATGTATTAGATTGAATGTATGGCCTACCTACTAACTATAAATATATCAATCTATTTAATTTATTGTTTACTTTATAGAATACTAAATAGCCTAAATAACAATCAATTGCCATTATTAACAAACCCCTTTAGGCTATATCTGCAATCAGATTGTTTATCTTTATTTTAAAATGTTTGTATAACACGTTCACTGCGCTACGAGATCCCGAGGTCTTGTATCGCACCTAGCCCCTAGTGCGGGACCCATAATTTGGCTTCTTTCCAAAAGTTACGACATCGATATTTCGGCGTACAGTTATCGTAAAGAAATGAAACTTGTACATATATAGGGTGACCCGGGGCAATTCTGGCAGCCAGACGTGAACCTTAACTTTAACTGCTTGTACCGCGGTGAACATATTTTTCATTTTATTTTGACAATTACCATAGTAATTCTATGTTATTCCTCTAGTGTTTTCATATATTTAGACAACAATCTCAAACTCCCCTTAAGGGGGTTTGAGGTTTTTTTTTTTTGGAGTGTCAGATGCCAGAATTGCCCCAACCTTGGGGCAATTATAGCAATACCTTATATTTTCCTTATTGTTTAAATTGCTCTGACATTGGGGCAATCATGGCATAGGCCTAATTTAGCTGTTTAAGATGGTGTTTTAATTTTTGTTCTATCTCTATTTATAAGGAAGTTGTGAATAAACCGGTAAGACAGTACAAGCGTACAAGGGCCTTAACCTAAAAACTTCTAGCAACAATAAACAATAAAAATAATCAGGCTGCCATAGAGTAATCTAAGCAAAAGGTGTTTACAAAGCCATCCAAATGAACTGAAATGAAACATATTACACATAACACACGTTGTTATACAATTTATTCTTTAATTTATACATTATTTGTATAAAGATATATAGCTGCCATAATTGCCCCGGGTTCTTTGCCACAATTGCCCCATAGCATATGAAAATGGGGCAATTATAGCACCCATTTAAATTTAAATATCTTAAAGGGATAACTGCTATTACTATTTTTGTTCATGAAGTTTTAAGTCTGAACAATTATCTTTGAGTATAAAAAAAAATAAAATATAAAATTCATAGGGGAAAAAAAATTAGCCGTGTGCGATGTTTCGATATCCTCGGGCTGTGGAAGAAAGTACTTTTTTAATCGCTAATAAAAATTACTGCAAACATTTTATTTTTACAAAAATGCTTTCCTATATATAGGAGGTATATGCTGAAATAACAAATATTGCTTCACTGATCTGTAAAGCTGAAATTTAAAAAAAATATAGGCCATTGCTATAATTGCCCCGTGCCAGAATTGCCCCGGGTCACCCTAATGTATTTTCTTGATGTATCAACTTGTAAACACGAAATGAACGAGATAAATAGATCTCGTAACACACTGAAGTAATAAACTTTTACTTTATTACGTAAAACCTACTAAGTTGTATCTATATGTAAGTTCTATATATAACAACTATAACCAGGGGTCTCGTATCAAAAATAGTTGTTCCAATCACTGCATGAGGCTAATGTGGTGATTAGTAACCATGGTAACCTTTGTTGAATGGTTGGAATGTTTACATTCGGGCTAGTGACATCATTATTTTAAATTTATAATCCTTACCCTCTCTGTTAGTTCTAATATTCGTGTAGTATTTAATATGTTTGAACCAGCTGTGTGGAACTATGAAATCAAAATTCATCTGAAAGTTAGTTCTGCTTGTTTACATTTTTAAATTGTGTAGGTTTAATCTTTGTTACCATGGATACCATCTTCAATATTTACTTTTAAATCTCTCACCTCAAATTTTTGAAAGCCCACGGGGCAGAGCCCTAGGACAATATCGAAGCGGGAATAGTTCTATATGTATCCTCGGAGCTGTAGCTTCATTTGTGTGCAATTTGAGCCCAGTCGGTTCAGTAGTTTTTGAGATTACCTCATACAAACACACACACACACACAAACACCACCTCTTCTTTAAAATAGTATAGATATATATAGATATATATATCTATATATATATAAATTTGAAAGAATGGTGTTTTTGGCCTCTGGGGACATCAAACCATGTGAGCGGCAATTGTATAGATAAAGCTCAGAATTAAAATTTAATTGCCATAGCGGGAAGTATTAACAAAAACTCCAGCCAAGAATTTGTAATGACATCATGCAAAAGCTAACTTAGGAGTTAAAAAGTTGCAAAAAACATAGCAAAAATAATAGGGCTTTAAAAACGAGAGGTCCATTTATATACAAGAGAAAATCACAATGGTTAATTTTGTGGTACGGTAGGCCTACATATTATTTTTCTCTAACCGTACTAGATTTTATTTTTTTACCTAACAATAACTGCAGAGGAAATGTTACTTGAGGAATCTCAGCAGCTGACCTTAAATGCCAAACGATTAACATTCATTTTTATATTGACTTACAACTTTCCATTTCTTCAGCATAGGGTCATCCCCGGGGTTGGTCAGGAACACACCTTCATAGAACTTGAACCATTCCGGATCAGGGTACCATGACTGAGACGCACTTCGTTGTCTGTAATACAAAACATTTCAAAACTATCATCTGTTAAAATATCGGTCAATTTTGTGCATTCTGCTCCAGGATTGAATCAAGATTTTAACATAAATAAGTAAAGGAAGGTGAACAATTAATTATGTTACTGCTTTAGGATGCAAACAAACAAACACACAAACTTTCACATTTATAAAATTAGTAAGATTTTAGTAAAAATGTAATCAGACAAGTTGAAATTCGCTTAGTCTGCAGGTTTGCTGCGGCGGGGGTAGTTTACTTTTTATGTGTTTTCTTATTATTTAGTCAATATTTAACAATTTTTGGGCAAATGCCATTTTACCCAGAAAACCAGGTTTGAAAAATCGTAAAAATAGTTAACTTAAGTGCCAAAAATGACCCATTTTTGGGATTAAACAACAAATAAATACTAGCCTAGAAAAGACCCAGTTAAGTTATGGATAATAAACGTAAACAAATGACGTTTCTGGCCCGTAAGTAAACATTATATTTAACATTGTTTAAATGGAACTGTCTAAGGTATTTATTCCGTATTTATTTAAGGTATTTATTGTTAAGTTAATGCTACACAGTAAAACCTCTTTTAATCCGAACTAATTGGGACCAGGGGTAGTTCGGACTATTGAATAGTTCAGATTACAGAACATATTGTTGTTTTTACATAACAATAGCTAAAACATAGCTAAAATTGATCAACATTATTTTGGGAAAAGAGAAAAAAATGTTTTATAAAGTAAAATACAGTGTTTATTTAATACAGTACTAAACATGGTAAATAAACAGTAGGCCTACTGTAAATTAAATACAGTATACAATAAAGAACTACTGTACTGTGTGTAGAGTACAGCAATTAGGGGTTCGGACTAGTGGACGTTCGGATTACGGGGGTTCGGATTAAACAGGTTCTACTGTATTACTATAGGATTCGGGCCAAAAACATCACTTGTTTATGTTTATGATCCATACCGGTATTTTTCTAGTAAGTTAGGCTATTCATGGATTAAACCAATATATTAACAACCCAACGTTGAAATAAGTTTAGTCTAATTTTGGTAGATAAGGCAAAAAAATTCAATATAGGCCTAATATAATAAGTTCAGTATTAAGTAGGCCTACTTTACCAGGACTAGGACTATGCGACTATGACGTGATCAAGTTTTTAAACCCGTTGTAGGCCTATGTCCAAAACTGCTTTAACTGATTACCTAAGCCTAATTAGGGTCATTAAAAGATTAAGGGCCTAAAAAAGATGCAGCTTCAGTAATCGGGAAGAGCTTAAATTTAAGGAAGGTAAATATGACTTGTCCAAACTTGGTATGCAGGTTGGCCTTCATTTATGCTCAAGTGAATGAGACAAAATAGTTATGATATGATAACTGACATAGTTTAAACACTAATATTGTATTTTTTACATACCCTAAAACTTGCAGAACACCATTATTTTTAACTAATAACCTTGCAGAACCTAAAACTCTTGGACCAAGGTTAAACACGGCAGCCATGATTGATTTTTAATTTTTTTTTTTATTGCAAATGCTTAGCTAAACTACTAAACACTGTTTTTGTACCTTACGACGGCCTGAAGAAGGGAGGGCCAGCCCACGGCCTCAACCACGGCCGCCTTTAACTAGGCCACGGCTGGTAGAATTGGCAACGTCGCAAGTGGTGTTGTTCATAAATTTATTAAAATATTGAAAATAAAACATACAGAATTGAAAACCGAAACAATATGAATTAAAAATATATATCTGTACATTATATGTGGAGTCAATTTTATCATAGTTCAGTAACCAATCTTTCGTAAATACAACACAAATACCATTACCATTAGATGCTTCGAAACAAAGGGTGGGTTCCATAATATCGACAACCGTAGAAATTGATCGAAACTGAATTATTCCCAGTTTGTCGACACTGGAATATTCCCACTTAACCGACATCCCAAATAACCGACGTCGCAAATGATCGACACCACAAATTGTCGACATCCCATATTGTCGACAATGAAATAGTTTCATTTTGTCGACACTGAAATAGTCCCAGTATATCGACAAGCACCCGTTCTTCGGAGCTACTCTTGAAAAGGAGTTGTTCTAATTCATCGTTCAGTTCCTCAACTCACGAGTCGCAATATTTGATTCCGAATTCCGATTTCCGACGTACATTTCTACATTTTATTGACTAAGAACTTTTATGTTGTAAATATTTATCTTGTTTATTTCTTTCCTTGTTTACAAGAAAATAGATGACTCGAGTGTTACAAACTATAGTTTTTAAGGAATAATGTGAAATAAGTTAATTTTTATAGGATAAAAAACTTAATCAACATGATAACTTAATAACATTAGTCCTACCAGACACTAACTTAGGTAAGTCACCAACAAGAACCTAAGATACAGCTTTTTCGTAGGCTAATTCTGGATCATCAAGCAATATTGTAGCAAATGTTTGAATAGGCATTTACCCCTAGGGGGTAGCCTACAGTTTCTTAACTGGGCTACGCTAATATTGATTGAAACTATCGATTCGATTAGTAAACCTTCATGCGATTTTTTCACCATCAGCAAGTTTGGTTGGTTAGGTTAGGTTATGATAGATTAATTTTATAATAGATATATTTTTAAATGTCGATTATTAATCAATATTTTCAATTCGATAGTTTCAATCAATATTAGCGTAGCCCAGTTAAGAAATTGTACTCTCCCTAGGCTATAGGATAGCCTCTTTGGGTACAGTTTCTTAACTGGGCTATGCTAATATCGAATTGAAAATAGAGATTGATTAATAATCGATATTTGTTAATATATTTATTATCAAATTAAACTATCTTAACCTAACCAACCAAACTAGCTGATGGTGAAGAAATCGCATGAAGGTTTACTAATCGAATCGATAGTTTCAATTGATATTAGCATAGCCCAGTTAAGAACAGTTTCTTAACTGGGCTATGCTAATATCAATTGAAACTATCGATTCGATTAGTAAACCTTCATGCGATTTTTTCACCATCAGCAAGTTTATTGGTTAGGTTAAGATAGTTTAATTTGATAATAAATATATTAACAAATATCGATTATTAATCAATCTCTATTTTCAATTCGATAGTTTCAATCGATATTAGCATAGCCCAGTTAAGAAACTGTACCCGTCTCTTTTTCCCACTGACCCAGTGTCAACTTTAAGAATTTGTTTAAGTTATGTAAAAATATTTGGCTGCACTTATATCGCATGAAGGTTTACTAATCGAATCGATAGTTTCAATCTATACTTATTAGCATAGCCCAGCTAACAAACTCTACCCGTATTTTGAATATTTCATTCCTTTAGTTAGGTTAGGTTTTACCCTAACTAACCAAACTTGATATAGGCCTAGGCCTAAGTTTATCAAATGAAATAATCAACATGACTGGGACGGGTGGCGTCGTCCTGTAATCCAGCTACTAGGAGGTCACGAATTGTGGATATTTATAGGCATGCACTGTGGATTCGACACTCCCTGGTGTGGATTAACGTCCGCACGAGTGAGTACTTACTACGACTCTCCCCAGTACTATCCTGATAATTAGACCAATTCGTACTTATAGGCCTATACCAAGGCAATAACTTAATGTGGTTCGGATTCCACTATAAACTGTATGTCCCTTAGTTGCCATTAGCTGTTTGGGCTATTAATTAACAGCTGTGTCTAAGGAATGTCAGTCTTAGTCACTAACAAGACTACAAGATCGCTCCACTCATCCTACACTCATCTCCATTCATACTTGGCTTAAAATACCTACTTTGTATGGTCGCCAAGTAATAAGAAAGAAAGTAGGCCTATTAAAGAAATACATTCATTGGAATGAGTGTAGGACGTAAACTTAAGTGCTGTCAAATATTCTAGAGCTGTTTGTATTTGGTGTAAGACTAGACTTGGATTATATTCATTCATTGCTGATGACTTCATTGTTAGTTTTATAGATGATCCTGGAGCAAAGGCTGTAATTTAACCTGAAACCAAATTGGTCTCTGTTTTAAATATTGTCTTGAACCAATAAGTTAAGAGGACTAACTGTTCTGGACGACATTGCCATCGATATCACTGCAGATGAGAGAGAAAGAGAGACCAGAGTTGTGTACCCTGGAGGCAATTACCATACTGCTGTGATAATGTTCCTTGGTCTAACCATAACTTAAGTGAGGTGAGTCAATATTCTTTCCCCTTTGGGATAGATTCTAGGCTGTTTGTTAACTAAGTAATTCAAAGTCCAAATCGGTATTTTGGTAAGTATTATCCGGAGGCTCACCAAAGGACTTGTGTTTGTTGTGTAGGCTTGTGTTTGGAGGAGTATTATTGGAGGAGCGCTGTACAGATGTACAGCGCTTTGCGGCGGTTAAGTTATGTTAGGTTGGGTTATCTATCATGGAAAGAACATTTTTATGTCCTAGGCCTACTGTCCATATTTGGGTGGGTTTATTCTTAACTGTACAATATCTTTTGTTTGAATTTTTTGTTTATAAATTTATTTTATGGACAGAATTTAACCTTCATTCGATTTTTTTCATTATCAGCAAGTTTGGTTGGTTAGGTTAGGTTATGACAGTTAGGGTCCGGTTGCCGGACCCGTATCCTCTGCGTAGATTTTTACGTACTGAATCCAAAGACCACTATTTTTCACTGCAGATGAATATTAGCCTACTGAAACGGAATAAATCACCGCTCAAAATGTTTGAATAGTCAAGGTAGAGTGGATTACATTAACAAGTGGAATGAACTGTGGGTGAAGTAATTTAAGCCTACAGCTGATTGTTTTCAACACCAAGCAATTGGAAGTGACAACTTTATTTAATAAATATGATTCTGTCTTTGCTCATAGGCCTATTGACGTCACATCAATTGGCCCCGATTAATATTAATGGCTGATCATATTTATCGGCGTTCCAATGCTCTAAGTCATAGCCTCCTCTACGTATTAATAGCCCATACAGCCAATGGCAACTATGGGACCCACCGATTATAGTCCACATTTTTCAGTAACTATCCGTCGTTTTAACAACTATATATCAAATGTGATAACCCCATGTTGCACGAAATAAAATATGCATGTATTTTATTATTTTGTTGTTTATTTGGGCAATATAAAAGGTAATTATACCACAATATTATAGTCAATATAGGCTTAACATACGTATTTATAAATTTAAATAATTTTATCGTTGACATGTATATAAATGACTGGCGGGTAATTTTCTGTCAAACATGGTAAAACTATGCAGTAGTCTAGGTGGTAGAAAGAAAAAAATTTGTTGTTACACAAAATGTAATACTGTACTATGCAGCAAAATGCGCTTAACCGGTATTACAACTTTTGCAACACTTGCTGCAATGAACATATATGGATCCATATCAAATGGGGCCTAACATCAGGGATGGATTTGTACAACTACTGTATGTACTTTCATGTCCAAGAATTGGTAAACGTTTCTGGTTAACGTTCTAATCTAACGTAATCTCTTATATTTCTAAAACATTTTTTAATGAAACTAAATGTTTCATGCATATTTGTTAGGCTTATTATGGGTTAAACCAATCAAATCTATAATTTATTCGAGTATTTATAATAGAGCGTTAATGGAGTTGTGAAACTTGTAGCATTAATAAAATCGTACTATTTTAGCTTGTAGCATATGTTCCCTATTTCCGATTTTGCCAGCTATATACTTCCTTGCACTTTTTCAATTTTATTTTAATTTTTATTTAAATTTGCTAGTTATTTTTCATAGTGTTAACGTTATCCGCTGTGGCTTCCTGGTAAAATTATTTTTCTCCTCCTTTTGTAAATGCAACTTGTCTATGTAACAATGTTTCGACTATAGAATATGGATGGACTGATGTACTCGTTCCTCACGCACAGGCTTTGCCTATGTGGGGATCTTCCATTATTTTTAAGAATTATTGTAATTTCTGTAACCATTTAATTTTCATGGATTAAATGATATTTGATTTGATTTTATTTTGATTTGTAATACAAGGAGGTAAGCGTTGATAAATTGAAGACTGTTCTGAGCAAACGGATTCACTAATTATTATTAAATAAACTACTTAGCCAGGAGAAATACCACTAAATATCAATGGATATATTTTGATAAACACATTAGCTAGCTATGTAAATGAATTTAATAGAGTTTTCCATTTTACCATACCATACCCTTTGCCAAAAATGGCTGCTCTGAGTTCTCAATGTGGTTTCTTTAAAAGATATTGTAAAAAACATTTTGGTGACTGTTCCATATAGGTAATACGCTATTACCATATGCGAAAAAATCTCTCATGGTCTCATGGCAAAATTAATCCGATCTTGATGAAATTTGTACAAACGTGTCGTGAAAACCTACAACAAATGAGTCCGCGAACCAACACATTTGGAATACGTGAATGTGAACGGGAGTTAATGGAGGTACTGTAATAAGAATAAGAGGTAAAGATTTTTACATGAGCATAATGAGTGAATTTCAAAACAAAATGTAAAATGTTAACCAAATGTAAATAGCTTATGGCAT